CTCTCTCTCTCTCTCTCTCTCTCTCTCTCTCTCTCTCTCTCTCTCTCTCTAAGGTATCTAATAATAGAACACCATCTTGTTACGCGAACGCTAACGACACTGCTGCGTAACTCACCGTGTGAATGCGTATGTGTGTACGTCGTCGGCGGATGCTCGACTCACGTCGTGAATTAGAAATGGACGAGTCGGCGTTTCAGCTGGCTCCCCGACGTCGCCTGGCACCGCGACAGCACAACGACCGCGGCGAAACCGTCGGGATTGGACTGACGACACGCACTTCTCGCTACGCTGTATCGTCCCCGTCGCGTAGTCGTCCGCCTGGTTAGAAGACTGCGCGCGCGATAGACACCAACCGTACGTACTGGAGCACCGATGCGCACTGGGCCGGACCGAAGGCGACGAGCCGCTGCATTCACACTGCGCAGCAGTGCGCGCGCGCAGCGCGCTAGGCGCCGTGTATACGTGTATCGCGAAGTAAGAGGTCTGCTCGTTCTCGAAGATTATTTGCACTAGGTGCAACAAGTTCGAATGAGAAGCGAGTGTATCTCCCTTCCCAGCATCAAATGTCTGACATACATCAGAGACGTTCCAGAGACAATGTGACATCTCTGGGGATGTCTCTGAGATGTATTTCGGACATTTGTGCTGTATGGGCTTCCTTCTAACTTACTGTGCGCCAATTATTAAACCGGTGCACTGGTTTAGAAGTTCTTCGGAAACGAACTGCTCGTATTCTGAACTCTCTTTTATCACTACAAGCGTATATAAAAGTAGCCAATGAGAAGGGCCCGTACTCTAAACTCTTTTATCGCTAAAAGCGTCTTTAAAAGTGGCCTAATCAGAAGGTTTATATTTTTAGAGACGCTTTTAGCGATAAAAGAGAGTTCAGAATATGGATCAAGGTTTATAACCCATTCTTACCCATTCTTGGAAACATTTTTAGCGATAAAAGAGAATTCAAAATATGAGCCCTAAAATATAATTTGAAACAGGAGCGCGTATTGGTCCGAGTCTACGATAGATATAGTAAAGCCTTGCTCTAAAGCCTATAATTTGTGGCAAAAGACGTTTTCCACGCTGCTTTAACAATTAGAATCTAATCGTTTGAAGTTTAGGGATTATGATTTCAGGCAGCAATAGAAAACATTTGTAAAGTCGAAAATTACACCATATTTTAGGTTTTAAAACATAAGGCTAAAGACTTATCTATGCGGACTCGGATTTATGGAACTCTTCGCAATGGGTTTCGAAAGACGTCCAAAAAAGGTCCTATCGTTTTTAAGCGTGTTTGAAAATTACCGACAGCACTGAAAATCTATAGCATACGTGACATGAACTATAGCTTTCAACGCTGATAGTGAATACTAGAACGCAACTGTGGCCATGGGCTGTATATACTTTTGTTTCTCATTAGAGGAGACCAAAGTCTGCACGAGCTATTTTCTCCGACCTTGTTACCAATATATAAAGATCAGTTTAATGAGCCACATAGTTCTATTACTCTCGAAAATAACGATCGCATTAATTGAAAATAATTAGTTTTCTAATTTCCTATAAAAACAAGCGGCACCTCGTGTCCGAAAAACATCTTAAAAACGTCTAAAAGATATCTTGAAGAGCAGGACATGCTTCACATATCTATAAAACGCCTGTTATTTGTGTTCTGCTTGGAAAGTTATAATATTTGTAAATAAAAAGGAGGCTTTGATTTATTCATGAATCGAACTACGATCTTGATTTATTAATAGAAATATATGTTGGCGATTCGAAGACTTTAGAACTGATGAAAAAAGGAGGCCTTATTCTCGAAAAATATTACATACGATATTGCTGTAAAATGCTATTCTTCATATTACGTATATTTGTCATTGAAATATCATTTTTTTTTTAATATATTTTCCAAAAGAATAAAACTAATATTATCCCACTGAAATATATACTATCTGGAACGCGCGCTACCTCTTGAGTGTGTGGGATAAGAGAGAGTATGCTTGTCTCATCTCTAGAACTAGAGATGAGACATCGAACAGAAATAATCGATTATAAGTTATAATCGATATCGGTATAATCCATCTCTAGCAGATACAATGACAGACGGGCGGATAAGCGAACGCGAGCGAGATGACGAAACGGCGGTCGGCGCAACGAGGACGGCGAATGGACGATCGCGCCCGAAGTTCACGCTCGGCTGTAAAGATGGGACATCGAAGAGAAATAATCGATTATAAGCTATAATCGGTATCGGTATCGCCCATCTCTATCTAGAACAGCGCTCTGTCTTTGTCTAATACAGTCTGAACCAAAAACTAAGTCGGCTAATTTCTAAACATAAGCTGAATCTCCGAATAGGAACCATCTTTGCTTTATTTTTCTTAATAATAAGTCGATAAGTGAATACTAATAAATGAGAAAAAATATATATTTTTTTATATCTTAAACTTTCGTTCATAAGCTTAAGTCATTGCCATTCAGTAGTCACTGCTTTTCATATTATCTCTAACTTTTAACTTGGATTGTATCACATTCTTCCCACTTTCGACTATACTATGAACCAGACAAGGATAAGAGAGGAAACAAGGAACCTCTTTCTCATCCCGCACGCCTCAAGAGGCAGCGCGCGTTCCAGGTAGTATATATTTCAGTGTATTATCCAAGACTCAAACCTTTCTATTTAGTCTACATATAGCTTATATTAAATACCGTTAGATGGCGCAACCGTTAATCGAGTTAGCGGATCGGCAGTTGTTGGTTCCAAAGTGTCCGCTACGAGCCGCCACCATTCCTACTGGCAAATAGAGTATGCATTGGATTCAAAGCATCGGCATCGGAATATCTGGACCGAACATTTCACGAAAGAAAGGTCTAATTAACGGTGAGAGAATAATTATTGTACTTCTTATGCCGCTGCTTCTTTGGGTATATTCGGCTTTACGTTAGCTTACGTTGGTATTATAAAACTATTCGAAAAGTTTTCTGGTCGGAATGATTTCGTTTTCTCTGTCAAGCACGATAGAAATATAGGATACAACTTTAGGATTAATCAAGAATGTTCGGCTTTTCTCAATTCTTAACTCTTGATTTACACACTTACTTCGCTTACTGAAGTAACCTTTCCGTATACCTTTCCCGCGCGCGCGCGTGTATACCTTTCCGAATAATTTTATAATATCTGCCCTATTCTACAACTTTTAACGACAGTGTCGCTATCGTTACGTTGCTCAGATATACTACACGCTGAAAAAGCCGCACCACGACACGCTATGCTACTAATATTGTCGTTAGGAAGTTACACCCTTATAGAAATATCATACTAAGAATCATTGATAATTACTTATTTTCAGTATTAAAAATACTGGATAATAAGTAATTATCAATGATTTTTAGTATGATATTTCTATAAGGGCAGAATAGGACTATTGCGATGCTTGTAACGAACTTAAGTATTTCTAAACACGAGCACGTTAATTTATTGTAAGATTATCGATATTTCTCACATATAGTCGATTGTAAGTCGGTTTGTGTATTTTTTTATTATCAAATGAAGTCGCAACGCTTTTAACGATACACAAAATTAATTATTTTCGAACAGAGCATTTGTGGACCATTAATCGTCAATTATTGCCGATAAATTACTTAATGAGAATAACAGAGAATGTTTGTAATATTGATATAACTGTCCTAGATAGCACAAAACATCGTGAAATTATCTTGGATGTACTCAGGACGTCTTAAAGCACTCTTCAGTACATTTTGGGTATATTCAGGATAATTCTGGAATGTTTCGTGCTGAAATTGTCGAGTAAAAACATACAAGATTTAGAGTTACTAAAACATAGCGCGCGCTTCGCGCGCGCCACTTTAGCCTTTTCGTTGTACTATTTACAATTTATGTTACAATACTCGTTTTTACAAATTATATTCCCAGCAAACACAATGTTATATATAACATACATGTTAGTTGTAATTTCCTATTCAACAATGTAACTGTTATATAACACGTATATTATATAACAGTTATATTGTTTATTGAGTAAGAAATTACAACTAACATGTACGTGTTACATGTAACATGTAACATTGTGTTTGCTGGGATTACAATAAATATCAAATTTATATGACGCGAACAACACAACCTGATCTCTCACCGCGGCTAACAGCTGCAAGCGGCACGAATTCAACTGCGACGGGATCGAGACAATCGAGACGGTCGAGACGGTCAATTAGCATCGCGGAAAAGAGGCTTCACCCACTTCGATACATTCGAGATTTAGTTAACACGCATTTTTTCTGATAGAACTAGCACACAGCACGCGCTACGCGCGGGCCTTCGATCTCCTTTTGTTAGTACTTTACGGGGTTATAACGAGGAAGAATGAGAAGAGGAGAGAATAGTAGAGAATGAGAGAGAGTAAAGGAGAATTAGAGAAAATAAGAGAGAATGGGAGAGAATAAAGGAGCATGAAAACATTTAGCTGTATTAAAATTCGTTTAATAATTATGTATATGAGACTATAATAATAATTATGTACATGAGACTATGTATATTGTGTCTATGAAACTATGTCTATGGTCTCTTCCTACATGTTGGCAGTTTAATTACATAGCAAAAAACATAAATCTCACTTACACATAAACCTATAATCTGCATTGTCTCTCCCAGTTTCTCTCTGTCTCTGCCAATCTCTCCCTGTCTCTTCCTGTTTCTCCCTGCCTCTCTCTGTCTCTCCCTGTCTTTCCCTGTCTTTCCTTGCCTCTCTCTGTCGCTCTCTCTCTCCATGTCTCTTCCTGCCTCTCCCTCTCTCCCTCTCTTCCTGTCTCTTTCTGTCTCGATTTGTCTCTCTCTGTCTCTTTCTGCCTCTCCTTGTCTCTCCCCATCTCTCCCTGTCTCTCCCTGACTTTCCTTGCCTCTCTCTGTCGCTCTCTCTCTCTCCCTGTTTCTCCTTGTCTCTCCCTCTCTCCCTGTCTCTCCCTGTAATCTGTATTGTCTCTCCCTGTCTCTCCCTGCCTCTCCCTGCCTCTCTCTGCCTCTCCTGCCTCTCCCTGTCTCTTCCTGTCTTTTCTTGTCTTTCCCCGTCTCTTTCTGTCTCTCCCTGTCTTCCCTGTCTTTTTCCGTCTCTCCTTGTCTTTCACTGCCAATATGTAGGAAGAGACCATAGACATAGTTTCATAGACATAATATACATAGTCTCATGTACATAATTATTATTATAGTCTCATATACATAATTATTAAACGAATTTTAATACAGCTAAATGTTTTCATGCTCCTTTATTCTCTCCCATTCTCTCTTTTTTTTGTCTAATTCTCCTTTACTCTCTCTCATTCTCTACTATTCTTTCCTCTTCTCATTCTTCGTCGTTATAACCCCGTTCTCGTAATACGCACGAACTGTCATTCGACTCA